AGAAACACTGAGGCAAGAACAGAAGTTTTATTTTAAGGATGGGGGTAGGGAGAGAAGGGGGGAGAGAGGAGGGAGGGAGAAAGGAAGGGAGGGAGGGAAAGACTCCTCCCAAGAGGAGGAGGTCCAGAGCTGGTGCCAGAGGGAGTGGAGGTCTTTTCCCTTTTATAAATTTCAGGTTTTCTTTCTTCTCATGCCCCCTCCTCCTCTTATCTTGCTCAGTGACCAAAAGGGCAGGAAGAGAGCTGTCCAGAGGGTGATTACCTGTGTTGGAAAAAGTGATCCTTCCCTTCCTCAAGAGGTTGTTAGCAAACAGGTAATGGGGAGTGCTGTCTACCAGTTTCCTTTTCTTTGATAATTAGCTACCTGTCATTTGTCCTGGTCTCAGCTCCAAGCCTCTATTCTTGTGTCCTGACAAAAGAAAATTCAGAGTTGGATATAGAAGAGAATTTTGTCATAAATGAAAGTAAGTCTTAAGCAAAGAACACTCTCAAGAGAGAAAGAGAGTGGGTTGTCTCCAACAGAGAACAACAAAGAAAACTTACTGATGCTACTTTCATATTTTTTACTGTTTGATGTTTGCCAGAACTGGTGTCCACCTTCTGTAGTCTTCACCAGTCCATTATTTAAATCCCCCTTCATGTTGGGCAGGGGAGCTTCTGACTCTACCTGGTCCTTTCTAAATAGTCATAGCAACCATCTCTTGTGTGTGTTGGGGAGACTTCATCTACAAGTCAATCCTATGTTAATGCAGTGCCAGAGTCAATGGCTGGACACTTAGTGCCCCTGGGCAGTGATCTCAATAGTCCCTGTGTTAGAAATATTGGGGCATTGCAAGAAATCAGTTATGTGTGTTACTGAAAGCTCAGTCCTTGTCCCCAGTGCCAATCAAATAACAAGGACAGTTTTGAGGAAAAGGAAAGTTTTATTACTTTTCTAGCAAAGGAGAAGCACAGGGGACTCCTGTCCCAGAAGCTGTGATTCTGTTCATCAAGGGGAATAGGGCTTTTTTTTTTTTTTTAAAGAGGTGAATCTAAGGCTACATTCCATTAATTTTCTACAAAGAGATGTAATTCACTTTGTAATTTGGAAGATGGTCATTTCTTAGATCTGCTGATGCCATCCCCAAATCTGAATTACTTCATTCCTGTGATGAGTGTATGTTTAAAGACAGATAACTCTGGGATGGGGAAAAAAGGTAATCCTGTTTCCCCTGAGATTAGGAAGGGGAAGAGATTAGAGAGAAGAAGGGAGAGAAAAATAAGTTGCAGTTCCAGAGCAGCAAGGGCTGTATTCAATCATAATGTAGACCACTGTTAAATGTGCTTAGAAGTTACTCAGCAGGGCAAACTTTACTTCTGCTGAAGGGTGTGCTGCTGAACAAAGTCTGGCAAGCAAGCACTCTTGGGGCAGAAAGTCTGCCTGTTTTTATCCTTAGGCAGCAATGCCCCTTTCTCTGATAGGAGGAGAAAGAGGTTACTATCTATGAGATTGGCTAATTTTAAAATTGGGGAGGTCAAAGTGAAAGGTTTTTTTAAAAAAAAATAGCTATGTCTGAATACAGGTTGGGAATCTCAGAATGGCCACAATTGGATCTTACATCCCAATTTTATACTTAAAGCTAAATTCTATATTCTGAAAATTTAACACTGGACTTTATGTTTCTCAAACCTGTCAGAAGTTAACCCCTTCATCTCCCTTTCCTTCTTGATATTTCTTTATTTTTTAGAACTTTATTTTTGTATTTAAAGTTCACACACACCATAATTGTAATATAATTTTAAAAAGAGAACTTAACATTTAGAAACATCTCTGATACTTGGTCTCTTCTGTGTCCCAAGCAAGTCCTGAGATAAAGATAGAGCACATGTACTTACATCCTACAGTGTTGGAGGAGGACCAGAAACCCAATCAGACTTAACAGGGTTGACAGTCAAAATATCCCTAAGGGGATGCCATGGAAGGGAAATACAAGCCTATACAAAAATCTTAATTTTATATTTTTTAAAAGTCACATATTCATTTCCTAGGCTTGGCCATCTACTAAGTTACACACACTCAGGTACTTGAAGGTTACTATGTAGCTCCTAGTTGTCTGAGTCAGGGCAATGTGCTACTTTCCCCACAACCAGATGCCATCTGTCCCCTGCAAAAGACCACTGGCATAGCTGCTGCAATGGTTGCAGACAAGTGAGCTTCCAGCTGTGAAACCAGAACAACTCTCACTGCTACTTTCACTTAGAAAGCAAGTTATTGCATTGGAGCTTTCCTTTTCCTTTTCATGAGGCTGAGATACGGTATGGTCAGTAGGACAAGTGACTTTTCCTGTAGTGCTTTCTACAGTAAGATAAGTTTCAGCAGCTTGTTCCTGAATACTGAACAGCAGCCCTAGTTCAGGACTTCTATCCCTGCACAATTAAGATTATTTGATAGTTGACTCTTTGCCTTTTTGGCAATTCACTGGTGAATTTGCTGTGATGCAGGGGTGTTTTCCATACTCTGCTTAAAGCAGAGTTGACCTCTGGCTTGGATTATGCTTCTCAAGTCTAGAAGGAGATCCCAGGCTCCCTCTTCTGACAAAGTCAGGGAATGTGATTTCAACTTGTTCTATTCTTTCCTAGGTCTCTTGGTGTGTGTTTGCCTCAAAAGGAGGTTTCCCAACTAAAAATTCATAGCAAAGAACTCCAAGGCTCCAGAGTTCCACCTTCTCATCATATATCTGGCCTTTAATCATCTCAGGGGACAGGTAGTCCAGGGTGTCAAGAAAGTGGTTCTCCTGGAGATTGGAGCATGTACTGATCACTCAGAATTGGTGATTTTAAGCTCTCCAGCTGATCCAAGTAACTTGTTCTCTGGCATAATGTCTCTATGAATATCTATCTTTGAATAGTAATAAGACAGAACATTTGCCAGTTCAGCAACCTAAGTAGCAATTCTCTGCTCCTCAAACTTGGAAAGTTTCAGAATTTCTCTTTAGACTGTTTCAAGTGGTACATATTCTAGAATTAGGTAGACTCTGGTGACATCATGAAATAACCTTACAGCTTGAGAATATTAGAATGCCTATGGTGGGACTGGATTTCTACTTTTATCCTGATATAATGCTCTACTCATGCATTCTCCAGCTGAACTTTAAACAATTTAGGAGCCAGGATAAACTTGCTTTGTTTTCCTCTTCTTAAATAAACATTACCAAAATCTCCTTTACCCAGTGGGGGAGCAGTATCAAATCTTCCAAAGCCCACTGCCTTTTCTTTTGAGTCTTAATTTTTATGTTTTGTTGCCAGTTCCTTTTCAGGATTATTTCCAGGTGCTTATGCCTGAGGCTGCTCATTTTTCTGGAGATTGTTCACAGGATGACAGGCTAAAGTACACTAGTTGTCTGCAATTGCTTCTGTTGCTAGTTTCTGATAGGAGACAAACTTTTTGTTCTTAAAAAGAAATATGCTGGGAAGAATTTAAAGAACATAGACTCACTGAGCCTGGCCACTTCTTACAGAAGCAGTCTGAGAAGGAATGTGCTAAGTCCCAGAACATGTTTTGGACTATCACCCAATGGAACTGTAGCCTATGTTGGAAAGGAAAATAAGCTTTATGGTATTCATGAGTGAAGGATGGATGTTTTGAGAATTCCATGGTTCGTTTCCTTAATGGGCACCAAATGCAGTTTTCTTTAGATTTGACCATGTTGCCCTACCTACTAGCCACCTTCCACTTTTGATACCAGACCACAGAGTCCTTCCAATAACTCTCCTTCTTAACATATTTCTTAATCGTCTTTCTTGACTATTTTTTAATTGGCTTCCTTTGTTTCTACTTGTTTATTCTCAGGGTTAGTATCTCTATTGTTTCTCTACAAATCACTTGATAATATTCATTAGTTTCAAAGGCAATTTAAAGAAATCCTGTGACCCCGCTATGTTATTGCTTTACATTCCATTGCTCATTATTACTACCTAATAGAATTACGTTATTTTACTTCATTTTCAACTGCCTGTTGCAAGTATGTAGAGATACAATTGATTTGTATACTGTGATTGTGTTAAATTCCTGTATTTTCATGCTGTTTTTCTGTAGATTACTTAATATTTTCTATGTACATAATGATGTATATAAAAATAAAAGTAGTTTTGGTTCTTCTCTTTCCAATCTGTATTCTTTCATTTTTCTTGTCTTATTGTAATGGCTAGAGTTGCCAGTATAATGTTGAAGAGAAGTTGTAAGGCTAGATATTTCTTGTTTTGTTCCCTATCTGAAGGGAGTGGCATTCAGTCTTTCACTGTTAAATATGCTGTTAGCTGTGGATTTTTCACAGATGTCCTTCTTGTTCCTAGTTTTCTAATAGATTTTGCTATAAATGGGTGCATTTTACTGCATATAAATTATACTTCAATTTAAAAACTAATTTATTAAGATAATATTAAATATTTTATATACTAAAATTAACAGAGCAATGTTGTCTCAAATATTAATATAGGTTGTTTAAGAAACAACTTAAATTGTGTAAAGTCTAAAAACATTAAGAAAAACATGGTCAAGGCTGAAATTTTATTTTAAATTAGTCATCTATCATGATAAAGGTGTAAATAAAATATTATTTGAAGATTTTACTTTTTGAATAGAAAATAAACCTAAGAAAGGAATTGCTATCATTCCATTTAGTAAGCTAATATAATATTTCAAAACTCAGTATTATTTCTCAGTGATAAACTTGATAAAGCCTCTAAAACTTGAGTTGAGATTTTCTGATTAGCACCACTGAGAGATTGCAATTTCTTTTCTTTTCCTTAGAATAATCCATATATTTGACATGCAGTAATTATTATTTGGCATATAAATACTGTAGATATATTTTACATAAAAATTAAACAGTAACTTTGTAGTTTTAACCATGGGTCATTATAACAAAATTATATTCTAGCCCTTTATATAGGTGAAAAAGCAGTCTCAGAAAGAATAAATATAATTGTTTCCAATTTTATGATAACTTTTTTGTACAACAGGAGTTACTTAAAGATCCACTGTACATTGGATTACGACAGAGAAGAGTGAGAGGTCCTGAATATGATGACTTTTTGGATGAATTCATGGAGGCAGTTTCTTCCAAGTATGTGTGATCTTTATTTTATCTGTTTTAATTGAATTTCAAAATCTAAAGATAAGCTAACATACCAACATTTAAAATTCCAAGTTTTATTAAGTACATTGTAATATTTACTAGTGATCTGAATGAAAAAAAAATCATATCTGTCTATATATCTTTATAACTCTTGTATATCTATCTACCTCTAACTATTATTGGCCATAAGATAATGTCATGTGTGTATCCTTAAAAAGTTATTTATGTTGCTGTCCCTGAAGATACGTTTTTCCTTCAAGAATCTTTAGAATTTGTGCCTGTGGAAATGCATGAATATGGGAAAGGAGGCAGTGTCCAATGACAATAAATGTAAGAAGGAAGTCTTCATTTTTATATTTATTGGAAGTCTGTACTTCTTTCTGGTTTCTGATAAAAATTTGATCTTCAATCATGTTTATGACTGGTGTCTGAGACTTAAATGGCAGGAAAAACAGAAGAGGTGGGACTAAGCAAGAGTTGGTATAATCAATGGGTACAAAATAGAGTCAGAACCAGAGTATCCGATTATAATTCATCAATCTCTGATTAAGTCTACATATTTGAATAAACTATAGTACTATATCTTCATCTAATATAGTTAGTATTTGATTGTGGGCCAAGTGCTACTGTAATTTTTCCATTTTTTTCCTTAAACTAAGACATTTTCACTGTAATTTTTATAATAGATTCAGAGAGTTTTTGTCAGGCCAATTGTCAACCATCTTCTTTGTTACTGTATAGTCACAAAAAACAAGTGCTTTTAGTTGGGCATGGTGGTGCATTCCTGTTGTCCTAGTGGCTTTGGAGGCTGAGGCAGAGGGATTGCAAGTTCAAAGCCAGCCTCAGCAACTTAGTGAGGCTCTAAGTAACTTAGCAAGACCCTTTCTCAAAAATAAAACATAAAAAGGTCTGAAAATGTGCTCAATGGGTTAAGCATCCCTGGTTTCAATTCCTGGTGCGTGCGCGCACGCTCTCTCTCTCTCTCTCTCTCTCTCTCTCTCTCTCTCTCGTGCGCGCGCTTGCACACACACACACACACACACACATACACAAACACACAGAAATCAAGTGCTTTTAAAAAATACATATTTTGCTTTGGCTTTTCATACAAATAGCCTCATCACTAGAGTCATTTGTAACTGGAGGTGTACTTCTGGTTTCTTATTATAATGTTTATTGTTGAGCAGTTGTATCCAATAGCAGAGAAGTGTTTTTGTCAGTTGCACAATATTTAGAATATTTTGATTCATACCCAAGATTTTAGTGTACAATATGTTGTCATTAGTAAGAGCTATGTTTTAAAAGCACATGTTTGATTTTTTATTGTTATTATTATGCTGCAGTCTGGTTGGGCACAAAATCACAAGCCACTCAAGCAGGAACAAACTTTATTTTTGAAACTCCCGGCCAATGCCCCATACGCTCCCAACCCACGTGGGTTCTCCTGGACGGGCCACAGGAAATCCTTCCTCCGGAATTCCCTCCTACCACACTTCCCCAACCAATGGGAACTCTCCAGGAGTCCCGTAGCAGGCCAAGGTGGACAGCAGGGGTCTAATATCCATATGAATGCAGATCTTAACATAATCATATCATCTCAATGTGTCACCTTTCGACCAAAAATGCTATGCATCATACTACTTGGCTATGGCTCTTAGCATCTTTATACTTCTTTGGTTAAGCTATAGATATTCTATAGTTTAAAGTTCAAGATTGCATGATATAGCGAATTGCTAGTAGTTTTTCATATTTAAAGTCTTAGCCTGTAAACTCTTCTATAATGTTTTAATTATAACTTTTTAATAGAAAATTGATCAAGAGATTGTATAGATGTTTTAGTCAGTTTTTTTTTTTTCTGTGCTTAAAAGATGTGAAAATAACAATTAGAGGAGGAAAAGTTTCTTTTGAGACTCACACTTATAGAGGCCTTACTCCATTGACGGCCAACTCCATTCTTTGGAGATTGAGGTAAGGCAGAAGAACATTAAGGCAGAAGAGTGTGGTGGAGGAATGTGGCTTGGACATGGCACCAGGAAGCAGAGAAAGATGGCTCCTCACCTTGGATTAAATATGAACTCCAAAGGCTCGCCCTTATTGACCCACCTCCTCTAGTTATTCCCTACCTGCTGACAGTTACCACCCAGTTAATCCCTGTCAGGGGATTAATGCACTGATTAAGTTAAGGCTCTCATAACCCAATTATTTTACCTCTAAACTTTCTTGCATTGTCTCACACAAGAGCTTTTGGGCTACACTCACATCTAAACTATAACAATAGATAATGCTCTGCAGCTATATAGAAGAAAAGGAAATGTAGATCCTAGTGTATTTTGTTTCATTTTCTATTTGCAGAAATAAACTCTGTCTAAAATAAGACAATATACTTACAAAGAAGCTATTATACACGTTATGATCACTTAACTGAGGATGAAATAGAGAAGATATTATTGTTTGGAACTAATGAAATGCTTTCTAGAGAAAATGAGATATAAACTTATACTGAATGATCTTTGCCAATCCAGAATAAGAAAAAAATATTTTTTCAAAACATTGAATTGAGATATTAGTTAGAACTAACAGTAATTTTAAACATAAAAGCACCTATAAGTCAAGAGTTGTGCTTCTGAGATCTTGCCAGAGAAAAATGCTAATGACTTTAAAAAATACCTATTGGCTTGACAGTACTTTGGAAAAGTTTTCAAGGAGTGAAACCTAGTATTACTCAAATTGGGAAGTAGTTATGTATATTAAGCACAAGATTATTTAAAAAGGAAATGACTTAATTTCAAGGTGGAACATAATGATTGTGGGCAAAGTTACATGAAAATCAGACTCTGGGATGAGGTTTATTAAGAAGTGCCTTGTGTTCAACTGCTTTGGAAGAAAGGCAACAGAAATGGGAGTGGAGGGCTGGGGTTGTGGCTTAGTGGTAGAGCACTTGCCTAGCATGTGTGAGGCCCTGGATTCGAGTCTTAGCACCACAAATAAATAAATAAAACAAAGGTCCCTTTACAATTAAAATAAATATATATTTAAAAAATAGAAGTGGATAAAGGAAGAAGTTGTACTGCAATATGAACCCATAAATAGCCTTATATAACTTCATTGGAACCATGTTGCATGGTATTTAGATTGTTAAGGGGAACTAATTTCTGCCAGTCCCTATCCCCTCCCACTCTCCACTCCTCATACTATGTGGCTTTTTTTTTTTTTTTCCCAATTATGGAAAGATTGGAGTGGAGCAGCTTCCAATTCTTTGTCCTGGTTTTCTCAACAATAATAGCTCTTACCTTATAGGCCAAGGACTTGATGAGGATATTGAGGTATACTAACCAAGTATGAAATCAGAAAATGATTTCATATAGAGTCTGAGGAATCACCACCAGGTCATTTCATGGTCCCATTAGATCCGATGAGTTGTACCTTGGCTGGGACCCATTTATTATTGGCCTCCAGATGCCTCTACTTTAACAAGGGAAAGAGAGGAGGACAGCATGTTGAAGTCTCAGGTCTTTGGGTATCACTGACAAATTTGTGTCCAATAGATCCTAAATATTTGAGTGTTTTCCCCCTATAATTGCCAGAGTAGAGGGTTGTAGGTCCCTTTGGAGTGAACTGGAGAATATTCTTACCATAGTGTTGCAAGGTCCTTCCTTCTGAAAACTAGGCCTCTTATTCAGTCTGTGTGTAAGTTAAATGTATAAAATTTAGCACAGGTTTGGAAACTGAAAAAATTGTGACTTCATTAGGGCTACTACTCTCGATTTTGTGGCCATTCATCTTGGATTTCTTTTAATAATATGATGAATAGTAGCCTTATTAGCTCTCTAGTTTCCCATTAGTGATGCAAATTCTGTTAAATCTCAGTAACTCTTTGTGGGTCAGTTTCACACACACTATCCTTGCCGTTTTTAAGATAACTGTACCTGCCTGGCTGTTAAACATCTTTGGTTGGTCCTGTCATCTTCATTGCTATCTGGAAGCCTTGTTACACATGAGTCTTTTCTTCATCAGTTATCACCTTTAGAAGAGAGATACTTCTAAACTTTTTAGTAAAGCTAAAATGTTTAGCATTAACTTTTTAATGCTAAAAAGCATATTTAGCATATTTCTTTTGATTTTGGTAAATGGTGTATTTTCTGCTCCTTCCTGTGGAACATAATTATCTGATGAGTTTTCTGGCCCTGCATAATTAGTATGTATATTCCAAAATGCCCATTTCTCTGAGCCTTGTAATCTCCTCTTCTGTTGTCTATCCAGACATTTCTGGCATTTATATCCACATTTACTATGAGCCATTAGTTTGATCATGTTTCTAGGAACCATCTTAATTAGTGAGTTTGTACCATCTCCTGAGTTTCTTGCCAGTTGTTAAATCCTGCCTCTTAGGAGAGTCCCTTAAAACCAATACACTCCCCTTATCTCATTTTAGGTTCCAGCCTCTTTGATCAAATACCCCTGGAATTTAATCCCACATGTACTATCCTGGCTAATGTGAACTATGTGGATCTTGCACTTCCTTTGAAATATAGTCATTTTCTTTCTTTATTAGCCTTAGCATATTCCAAGTGATCCAACCCCATCATAACTATCTGCTTTTTCAGAATGGTGCTGGTACCATCATAGAGTGTTACCTGGGATGCATATTCTCAAATGAAGCTTAGTGTTCAAGAAGTTTATAAGCAGTGCCTTTGAGATTAACCTGTGTGGAAGGAAGAGAAAGGTGGCAGGAATGGGTAGAGGGAGAGGTTGAGGTGTGTTGTAGGTACAGTGACAACTTCTATTAACCTCGGAGCTACTTTGGCTCTTTAGAGTTGCCAAACCTTTGTATTTCTGCATCTGTTAGTCATTGGATATAGGTCATCCTGGGAAAGAACATAGCTTATGCTCTGTGTGAAGTGGCTTTCTGTACCTGAGGCAAACTGGGACAGCAGTGGGGAATATGAGGGGCATTTTATGGTATTCAGCACAATGACTGAATTCAGAAT